AATCTTAATAAAACTAGTTTGACAATCGATCTGAATTCTTACATAAAGATTTTTTCCACAGAAAATAATTATTCTTTCGATTATTGACTTAGTTTCTCGTTAATATCATGATGCAAATAAAAAATATTTTATTTTAATTAGAAAAAGTTTTTTTAATCAGAAAATTTGAATTTTATTAAATCCTATGCTGAAGTTTGTTCTTTAGTATTCCATTTTAAATATTGTCATTTCCAAAAACAAAAACATAAAAAAAACAATAGGAAATGTTTTTAGATGATCCTTTCTACAGAGAACCAAATTATAAGCAATAAGCTTTTGAAAAACATAAATAGAAAATTTGGTATTCATTTTTTACGATAAATTCTAGATCGTTAATTTTATTCTTATTATTTAAATATTTGATTAATTGGCAAGAATAATAATCAGAAAAAAATAATGATTAAATTGAATAAAAACTAATTATTGATTGATAATACTAGAGAGCAATGATTAGCCGCGATAAAAGTTTAAAATTATTATGATCTCTAGCTGCAACTCCTAAAAAGTAAAGTGTGTCTGGATATGCATTTGATGAGACTTGTAGATCATATTTATTTCTCCAGAGCAATGAACTAACTCTTTTTCGAAATTTGGCTACAGTATTTCCCAATGGTTGTTCATGAAATTCAGTATTTAATGAAGCAGCTGTACCTTCCATTACTATCCGATTCTTATTAAATGAAATAGTAAATTTATTTCCAACTATTTTAAAATTTTGTCCTAATGTTCCATTTGTCCATTGATTATTATTTGCATTTAAAATGGTTACTGTTGCTTTATACGTTGCAAATATTACTATACCTTTTAACCTTGCAATTAATTTTTTTTCTGGAAGACTAAATACTTGAACATCATGAGATAAACCCCATTTTGATTCCATACGATATAGACGAGTTTTTCCTGTATGATCATAAACAGTAAATTCACCTCCTTTAAGACCACTGACAAAATCTTTTTTTATCAAATATGTACGATTAACTTCAACTGGTTGAGCAGGAATTAGTAAATTAATTGATAATAATACGAATAATGTTAAAATTATTTTAATATGAACTTTCATTTAATAAAATATAAAAATCTATGAAAACATTTTTATTGATCTTTCTTTTATATATGATCAATAATTATCTTTAAAGTTTATATCGATATCATTCTTATCTTGATTATAAATATATCTATAGATCAAATTTCATCCTAACATCTAGATTTCAAACTAGATTTCGCCTTGAATTTATCTTTTTTAATTATAGATCAATCACTGATAATAAAAAAAAAGCTGTTCGCTTCTATTGAAATGATTTATTTTTATTCCATAAAATTCTTATATTATCAATTTACAAAGATTTACTGAAACTATGTTTTTTTTAATCAATAACTTAAAAATATCATTAAAAAGAAAAATCAAATGTGCAATTGATTTAATTAAAAATTGTTAGCAAATATTTGATATAAATGAGCAGTCATCCAATTCCGCAATGTTGAACATTCCGGAACCAGTTCCGCCCCCGGAATCAGTTCCGTCGATTCCAGAATTAGGTCAAATATGAACACTGTCCGATTCCGGAACTGGTTCATCCGATTCCGGAATTAGTTCCTCCGATTCCGGAATTGCTTCGCCCGATTCCATAATTAGTTCGTTCGATTCCTGGAATTCCCACTTGTATCACTATTCTAGCTTGTCTTACCCAGTTCGTGATGATCCGATTTCGGCCCGGAATTGCATTTGCCACCGAGCTATAAGATATATCAAGTGTCCATTGACCACTCAATTCCGGAACCGTTGGGAATCAGGCGGAATCCGTTTGAATTCCGGAATTGAATCGTAAGGGATAAACGGAATTCCGGGAATTAGATGGAATTGGTCGGCAGTGATTCCGGGAATTCCGGAATTGTGTTGGAAGTGATAAACGGAATTTCGGGAATTAGATGGAATTGGTTCCGTGAGTGGAACTGGTTCCGGAATGTTCAGCATTGCGGAATAGGATGTATTCTCATATAAATTGACATTTTCATTATTATTCAATAGATACGAATTCGCTTTGCTTGCTTTTTTATTCTAAACTTTAAGCAAACACAAACAATGAATGACTAAGAATAACTTTGATTAAAAATTCATTTGAATAAATTTGTTTTGAAATATTCTATTATATGAAGCATTTCAAAGATACACAAACTAATTCTACTAAAAATTATAAAGAACATAATAATACACAACAGGTTTCTCATGGAAACAATTTTATTGATACTCAACATAGTTCAATTTCCAATACTGAATCTTAGTAATAAATTCAACGGGGAAAAAGCGGCTCCTGGTGGCTCCTGATGGATTCTAGAATCCACCAGGAGCCGTAGATTCCACCAGGATCCATAGAATCCACCAGAATCCACCAGGATCCACCAGAATCCACCAGAATCCACCCGGATCCATTTTGATTAGTGAATTTATATCAATATTTTAAACAATTTTCAGCTGCTAAAGAAAACAACGAGACTCATATATGTCGGATCTATATGACTTTG